ATTTTGATCTATTTCAATCATCTAAAATTTAGCTTTACAACTGAGATACCTACCTAGAAATTATCATTAATATATTACAATGGCCTATCTATTTTCGTAACAATCTTTTTTTACCCATCCATATTAGAAAATTACCTAATTTCTTTTTTGCACATCCACAATTTCAACTAAATTAGATAATTAATTATATTTAAGCCTATCAGGAAAGCGTGTTTGGCATAATATAATTAATTTTTTTATATATCTTATAATGTTTTGGTTATTATCATTGTGTCAATATAATCTTATCTTTAATTTCAGTTACTGCTCTATATAATGCTAGATTATCTTTGCTTCTAGGCTCTACTCTATATAAGTCATATTATAATCAAAGTCTATCACTAATATGCGAATTCAATATTTTTCATTTTTATAATTTTAATATAATCGTATTATTCTTATTGCTTTATGACCCAATAATAATTACATGAACAATATCTATTTAAACTAATACTTTTAACTTTGCTTAAAATTTTATTATAAATTAACTAATAATTCATTTATCATTTAGTAATTATATATATTATCACATCAAATTTTCAATTTTTATTAGTGTATTAACTTCTATTAAAGCTTTCAATATCTCTACCCTTTCACATGTAATCTTTTGTCTTTAGATATGACAATATCTTCCAGTAGCTCTACATTATCAGAAGAACATCGAAAGCAACTCAACCGTGATCGCTAAAAATGTTTTAAAAACAAGAATAAAAAAACTGCCTCACACCTATCCGTTAATGTTTCTAAAAACCTTCAACCCTTACTTAGCACCGAAGTCTCTACAGTTGAAACTCCTGCTATTGATAGTGATTTTAATTCTGCACTATTAGAAAATGACAAAAACAACTCAACTGTGAACACCAGAAATATTTTAGAGATAATAATAAAGAAACTACCTCACTTCTATCTACTGATATTTTTGAAAGACTTCAATACTTACTTAATACTGAAGTCCTCACGGTTGTAGTTAAAACTTCTGCTATAAATATTGAATCTGATTCTGATAACCTCTCATCTTTACTTACTACCAAAGTCCTTATGATTACTGATCTTGAATTAACTAATACCCAAAGTAATCTGAATTTTCATCGTGATAAAACTAAATGTCATGATATGGGTAGAATAGATCAGATCTGTTGATGTTGTAAAGCTAAATTTTAGATGATTGAAAAAGATCAAAATAGTAGATATGCTGCTCTGAAATTTCCTCTTTGTTGCACTAGTGGTAAAATACAATTACTGCCTTTATTTAAACCCCCACCCTATCTACTAAATCTTTATACTTCAATTAATTCTGATGCAGTCAATTTTCATAAATACATTAGAGCCTATAATAGTATCTTGGCTTGCATATCTTATAGTGCTAATGAAGATAACCAATTTTTGGAATGTGGTATATCAAATTTTCAGATTCATGGTTAAGTCTATTATTTAATCAGATCATTATTATTAAATAAAGGTCTCATACCAATATTTGCTCAACTATATATTTATGATACTGCAAATAAAATTATAAACTGTCATAACATAATGCACGAATTAAATGAAAACATTCTACAGAATTTACAGAATATACTAGATACCTGCAATCTATATATCCAAAATTTCTGTCACATGAGAGATCTAATACGAGACAATGTAACTACTAAAATTTCGATGATAATTCATAGTGATAAAAATCGAGATATTCATCATTATAACGCTCTAACAGCTCCTGATATAGCTGCAATAATGGTAGGTAATGGTCATGAGGTAAATCTAACGAGTTGTGATATTCTTCTTAGAACGCATGATGGAAATTTGCAGAGAATATCAGAGTTTCATCTTTTATATAACCCTCTCCACTACATATTATTATTCTCTAAAGGTGATGATTGGTGGCATACAGATATACTACTCATAGATGCTTTAAAAAGAGAATGAGTAACAACTATGCAATTTTACTCTTATCAATTGCAGATTAGAGATAGTGATTAGATACAATGTACTAGCTGTTTATATCAACAGTATATTGTTGATTAGTATACCAAAATAGAATAAAATTATTTAATTTACCTTAAACATAATCAAAAATTACTTCGTGTTGAATTTTATTAAGGTATTATAGACACAGTACATGCTAGAGATTGTAGTAACACTGTTGGTTGTCATATAATCCTTTCATCATCTTTTATAGACAGACCACATTAAATATATCAGTTATATCAGAATATGATGGCAATTATCACTCACTTTGAAAAACCAGATCTTTTTGTTATATTTTATATAATCCTAAATGGTCAGAAGTTACCAGAGAATTATTACCTCTTTAGAACGCTACTAATAGGCCTGATTTAACAGCCCATATGTTTCATGTAAAATTACAAACACTGTTAAAAGATTTGTGTTATAACCATTGGCTTGATAAAGTTATTGCATATGTATATGTAGTAGAGTTCCAAAAATGTGGTCTTCCCAATGTGTATATTCTATTAATCCTTGTTTCAGATAACAAATTACGAACTACAGAAAATTATGATTCTATTATTTTTGCTAAAATCTCTGATATTCGCATATATCTACTTGCCTATAAGACAGTAACAACCATGATGATACATAGTCTGTGTGGTTTACTAAAGCCTGATGCACCATGTATGAAAAATGGTATCTGTACAAAACATTATCCTAAAACATACCTTGAAAAGTGATAGTAGATATCTTATTTACCGCAAATAAAACAATACACATTTTGTTAAAGATAGAATCCAATTAGACAATATATAGGTTGTGCTGCATAATATCAAATTATATACAAAATATAATGCTCATATTAATATTGAAATTTGCAGTTCTATAATGGCTGTTAAATACCTATATAAATATATATATAAAGAGCATGATCAAGCAACCGTTATGTTTGCCCATTCCAACCAAGCTAATAATCAACAACTTTCACCTAAAGTTGTCTAGATTAATGAAATTAAAATGTACTTGGATGCAAGATATGTTTCAGCTTCAGAAAGTATCTGAAGAATTTTTTATTATAAATTGCATAACTATAGTTTAAAGATACAGAGACTTGCTATCCATCTCAATAAATGTTAATATGTTATATTTCAAGATGAAGACAATCTTCAAAATATTACCAACTGTAATCAAAATCATATAACAACTTTAACTACTTGATTTTAGGAGAATATAGAAAACCTGATAGCATATATATATACTTATGTTAACTTTTCTTCTTATTATACTTGGAATTTTTCATGCTGTAAATAGATGTCTAAAAGAACATCAATAACTATAATAGGGCAACTTTATATAGTACAGCCTTTCAAAAGTAAAAGATATTATCTATAAACTTTACTTACCCATATAAAAGGTACGACCGGCTTCAATAACCTAAAAACTATCAACAACTATACGTGTGGTAGCTTCAAAGAAGCTTGCTCTTATCTTGGTTTTCTTCAGGATAATACTGAATAGGATGCCTGTTTGCTTGAAGCAAGTGCTATACAGACAGGACACCAACTTTGATAGCTTTTTGCAACTATACTTCTATTTTGCCAACCGCTAAAATCTAAGTTGTTATAGAAAATTATAAAGTAGCGTTGTATAAAGATATTTTATATTGAGCTTATATACAATTACAAGATTTCAATGATGCAAGTGATGTCTCTGCTGTAATTGAACATAAAGCTCTTACTCGATTAGAAAATATACTTTTACTAAGTAGAAAATCTTTAAAAGATTTTCCTGATATGCCAATTCCCCCTATCACTTCAAATATCAGTAATAATAAAGAAGTATTAAATCACTTAATATATGAAGAGAGATCCTATAATATAACAGACTTACAAACCGAATTACAACGCAACATACCTTTGTTAAATGATGATTAATGTGCAGTATTTGATGCTGTTACGAGAGCATTTAACAATGAAGAAGGAGAATATTTTTTTGTAGATAGACCAGGTGATACAGAAAAAAACTTTTTATATAATACTTTACTAGCAAGTATTAGATCACGTTACTATATTGCTTTGACAGTAGCCTCTTCAGAAATCGTAGCACTTTTAATAAAAGGTAGATATATAGCTCATGGTCGTTTTAAAATTCTACTTAAACCTGATAAATCTTCTATATATAATATTTCACGAAATAGCAAAGAAGCCTATTTAATCAGTATTGCAAAACTTATCATCTGGGACGAGGCCCTGATGACTAATAAATTTGTATTTGAAGTCTTTGATCATATATTTCATAACATTATACAAGTAGATGATCTATTTGGGGAAAAGATCATTGTTCTTAGTAGTGATTTTTGTTAAGTACTATCTATTGTACCTGTAGCTCTTGCGCAGATATCATTTTGGCTAGCTTACCCCGCTTTTCATTATGAAGTCATATAAAAATCATAAAATTAACAATTAACGTGAGACTCTAGCAAACTAATAATATTAATAAAAATCATAGACAAAAAGAATTTCTGAGTTTTTTTTACAAATAGGAGATAGAATGTACCCAATCATCACAGATACAAAAAATAGAATAACACTCTCTTCTGATATAGTCGTAACTGGTAGAATGTTATCGGATCTTATTAATTATGTTTATTCGAATTTCATTCAAAACTCTAATAATATTAATTACTTAACTGAACAAGCTATACTAACTTCAAAAAACAATGATATTAATGTAATCTCTGATCTAATGATAGATCAGTTCTCTGGTTTAGTTTCTATATATCCTAGCGCAGACTCACAGATTTGGCAGATAATAGAAATATAAACTACTCTCATCTATACCTACCAGAATTTTTAAGATCCTTAAAAATCTCTGGGCTTTCTTCTAGTCAATTAAAGTTAAAAGTTGGCATACTTATAATGCTTTTGCGTAACTTAAATCTAGCAAAAGAACTTTGCAATAGAATCTAATTAATTTGTTAAGCTCTTTATAGCAAAGTAATTATTGCTGAAATTATCACAGGATCTCATATCGGTAGTTATGTATTTATATCTCGAATTTCATTATCATCTTCTAATACTGAATTATCTTTTATTTTAACAAGACACCAATTTTTAGTATATCCTGCTTTTTCTATAACCATCAACAAAGTACAAAGTTATATATTGAATCAAGTTGGTATCTATTTACCGAAACCAGTTTTTTCACATGGTCAATTATATATTGCTTTATCGAGAGTTATTTTTTACCATGCCGTTAAAATTCTTATATCTAAAATTCAAACTTTAAATTATTGTCACATAGATAATGTTGTATATCGTGAAGTTTTTTTATATATAATGTAATATCTGAGTGATTTTTCTGCAATATTTCTTTATTTTGTAACCTTATTGACCAAAAGGCAAAATAAAATATTATATATAGTATTTTAATATTCAATAAAACTTAACAAAGCAATAAATATTCTTCTTACCAATTCGCTTTACCCTAAATTATACATAGGTTCCGAAATTGCTCATCTTAATAAAAAAATAATTATGGTATTTAGGTAGCTAAAATTAGTCTTATGTAGTGCCAAAATTATTTTTCATATTTGCCGAAATTATTGCCAAAATTTTCTGAACTCTTTTTATCAAAATACATCATATAATATAGTTATTTCAAAGAGCTTTATATAAAAAATTTAGTAATGCCAAAATGTTTGCCGAAAATATGATTTTTCAAAAATATAATTTTTCAAAAATAATTTTGGCCCCATGTATACCCTGAATAAACTTAACCTCTTTTCTCTTGACTTTATTTATTTTTTTTTTTTTTGGTGTTAAGGTGGCCTCTTGGCCGGCTCCTTTTATTCGGTTATAGTTAACTTTTA